CTTCCGTATGCAACTCGGCGAAGCCAAGTATTGTGTAAGCCCTGGTACAAGAACTTCCAGAGTGGGACTTGTAAAGGATCCATCCCTTCAATGTCCTTGTAGCTTGAAAATCTGCTCTGTCGGATTCTAGAAGGGAAGTCCAAACCATTGATCTTGTTGGAGTCGTGGAAGTCGACATCAGGTTTCCAATTCTCAACTGGTGGGATTTCAATTGGTCTGCATGTATATCCTTCGTTGACAGAAGAACTAGCTCCTGGGGATGACATAGGTCTCGGTGATCTCGGTGTAAAAGGGTGACGTTGAGGTGCAAAACTGGCGTTGTTGGGGGGTGTCTGTGAGCTCGGAGGCGGCGTGGGCGGAAAAGGTGCCGTAGGCGAAGTCCATGGTGGGCGTGTTGGGAACGATGGAGACGTAGGCGGTGGAGGCGGTATTCCGGATGGGTTCCAAAAGGGTCGATGGGTCGTCATGGCATAGTGCATCGGGCCACGGAACGCCGGTACTGCTTGGTGCCAACCATGTGGATGACGAGGTGGTGTGCGCGAGCGATCCGGCTGGGAAGGAGGAATTCCATTCATATCCGCGCTGTATTGGGAGATCAGGTCCTGGGACGCCATGAGGTAGAGAGGGTCACGAGACAATAGGTCAAAATGCGCTCGAACTGCCGAATGAAAGCTGCGAGAAATGTTAGGGTGAGACAAGGATAGTGTGCGAGTGAAAAAGTGAAACATAATACGAGGTTCCAGTGTGTGAAACATAAGGTGAAAACGAATCTTGCGCAAGGATCCACAATATGAGCATGCAGCGAGTCACAAACCTTTTGAGGAAGAAGTGGCAGCAGTACCGAATGTCGGGAGAAGCATTGTTACTCCAAAATAATCGGGCAGGGCCACTAGGCTCACTGGATCGCCGACGTAGAATAGTCGATACTTGTTCTGGTACTCCTCAAGGGTAAAGAATTCACCAATGAGATTTGGAGTGGTGGGTCGAATGTCGAGAACGAGGTCGGCCTTCATGGTGCTGGTCGCGAGAATGGTCGTCATAATATGAGGATCGGCGATCTCGGCGGCTGTAGGTGGAATTGTTCCAAGCAGCATTGTCATGCCAAGATCGGCGAGCATAGTCCCGGGAGCCAGAGGTAGCAGTCTCGCGGCGGCTCGGTGTATTGTGAGAGTCGTCCGGGGCCGGCTCCGAAGGGTCTGGGGCGTCGGCAGAAGGGTCAGGTCGTACTGGACGTGCAGAATCATCAGGAGGTTCCGAAGGTGCATTGGTCTCCGCAGTCTGGTGTGTGATCAAGCCCGGGAAAACCTGGTGAGTGGAGGCGACGTAGCATATAGATGCAGCGCTTGAGTTCATAGCCGTTGCATTGTCTTTGCCCTTGGCGATGCCCGCAAGGTTGCACAAGCGTTGGATTTGGTCATTTCCTCCAGCTAGGGCACGGATGCATTTGGGTGAGCGGCATATGGCCAGCAGGCCTGATGGGTTTTGTCCTTTGCCTATTTTGTAAAGCTGAGAGGTACAAATCCTGACAGCATAGCCGGGTAGGTTGTCGGTGTCTGCGATCTCAGAGGACATTCCGAAGAACCCGTAACACGGGTATTGGGTCGGTATACCGGCTTCGTTTTTTGTCCAAGTTGCCGGGCGGATGCAGTCTTCAGCAAGAATTTTGGCAACTGATTCCCAACTTGTCTTGTGGTAGATCAGGTAGGTGCCCATGTGTTCGCCACGGTAGATTGGTTTCCTCTTCAATCCTGTGGGAACCGTGATGGTCAGCAAGTTCTCTGGCTCAATATAAGGCTTGTGTTTGCTTTGCAAGTTCAATGTCCAGTAAGTCGGATTGTGCAAAGGCCCTGGCAATATTCCTGACGGTGGCTTGGCTGGCTTTGATCCAAATACGATGGTTGTTGACGGTGCGGTATGGTTTAGCCAACTGTTCGAACATCGCGTCCACAAACTGGTTGAAGAGCTGCAAGATAGCCGGGGTCAATGATTGGCGTAGAGGAACAACATGATCGGGGCCAAGCTCGGTCAGGCATCGAACTCCATGGGGGTCATTGGCCGCCGCCACCATTTCATCGAGGTCGATGTCATTCGTGTCAAACTTGGTGAGCGAAATGGTATCAGCAACCTCAGAATTTTCACTGTCGCCGTCCGGAACTCGGAAGGACACCGCGCCGAGTGGTGCTGAAGTGTGGGTTGGTGGGTTGGTTTGTGGTTCCGATGGTGGTGGATCAGTAGGAGAATTGGGTCGAGCAGTGTGGTGGTCGTAGGCGTCGTTGTAGTGGCTTTCGTTCCATGTACCCCAGGTGTCATCAGCATCAGGAGTAGGAATGTAGTTCGGATTGGATGGGTTTGCAGCAGGTCGAAGTATGACTTCACGGCCTCGGGATCGGTGACGTGTCGCGGAGCGTGGGCGTGGATGGGAGCGGTGACGTCGAGGGACCACAGGAGAGCGGCGTCGTGGTGGTGAGCGTCGTCTGTATGGAGATGGTGTTCTGCGGCTCTTGTCGGTTTTCGTAGATGATCGATGACGAGGGAGAGGAGAACGAGGTCGCTCTGTACGTGGAGGAGAATGGCGAAGGCGATAGGAATGTACAGAAGGTCGATGGGAACGTGATCTTGGAGTTCGGGATCGTGGTCGGCGTGTTGGTGGTGGTGGACCGTGTGGTTGGTGAGGAGGAGCGATGGTTGGAGCTGGGACAATGCGATGGTCCTGAACGTCCGGTTCGGTGGGTCTGGCCTTTGGTGCAGGTGGAGGCGTGGCGATCAGTGGTGGTGTAGGTGTAGGTGGCGGTATCTGTGGTGTAGGATTCGGTGGATGTTCATCTTGTTGTAGAAGGAGTTGACGTTGTTCTTGTGCCCGTTGAGAATCCATGAGTAATAGTTGCTGAGCTTGGATAAGTCGAACAGATTCGGCCAGTTGTTGTGCGGTGGAACCCAGGGATGCAAGTTCAGGTGGAACGGATGAAGTCGGTGCTGTCTGAGGTGTCGATGGTGTAGCGTGAGGAGGGGTTTTCGGAGCTGGTCTGCGCGGTCGATCCGGTCTTTTGTCAGAGCGATGCCTGGGAGCTGCTTTGACTGCTGGGGGCCGTGGTGAAGGCTCATTTGGAGGGATCGTCGATGCGTCCATCTGTAATGGAGGTTGAATGTGGTGAGGTGGGTATGGAGAACTGGGCAAAGGAGTTGGTGTCATAGTCGATGTAGGTGGTGTAGTCGATGTAGGGGATGGAGCCGAAGTGGAAGGCCACGCGGGTGGAGCGGTAGGTGCCATAGGAGATGGAAAAGTCGACGAAGCGGTGTGTACCATAGTTGGTTCAGGAGCCAAAGGTGAAGGCATGGTGGGTACAAGTTGTGGACCTGGTACTGCATGAGGAGCCGAAGTCCATGAGGTGAACGGCAACGATGTTGGGGCGGATGTAGACGGCATGAGCGAAGCGGAGGATGACCATGTAGGATGCAAAGCCGAGGGATGTCCAAATAAATGTGCACTCGGTGTCGATTGCGGCCACGTCGAAGATGGGTTCGAAGGCTGTGGTGGAGCAGGCCATGATGTTGGAGTGTTCCACGGATGCATCGCTTCAGTAGGTCAAAACAAAAGTGGACAACTGTAAAAAGTTTCACATACAGGATTCAGTCCCTAACTACCTACAAAATCGTGCAATTATTCCCTGCACCGGGACCGTGGTCAAGTCGTGCCGCAATGGCATAAAACAGCTTTCAAGTTCCAACGAATTAGGTGCACAATATGTTTCACCTCACCAGACAACCATCAAAAGAAAGGATCACCACACCTGAAAGTCGTGTGCCTGCCTGATTTCTCTGTCATGATTTGATGCAACGGTGTTGCAAAGCAGCTGCACAAAACGGAGGTTTCAGAACATTCGGAATGGCTTCCCTTGAAAGAACGCAGCACTGGGGTCCCTGGGACAATAGGAGCGGCGGGACATCACAAAAGGCGAATAACCGAAAGGCTGGCTGTTGCACTTTACTTAAATGAATTACTGAGTTGAAAAGTGTAAATTCAGAATTCAAGTCTGTCAACACTCACCCTGAAGAGGGTTGCCTCCAATGGCTCCATGGCACCATGTCGGAGCCACCATGGAAATCACACTAGACAAGAATGGATCATTATATGATCCGGCAGGAACTGAATCCTGAAACATGCAAACCAGCCTAGATTATTTGATGAATAAAAGAGCCACATGAGGTACTTCTCGAAAACGATGTAGGGCATCCGAATTGTCAAACGTAGTCATAACCAGATTCCATAGAGTTTTGACCAGCATGTTGAAATCCAAAATAATGTTTCGGCGATTGTTTCCCAAAATAACCCATAGTTCGTCGGCGACAGGATCTCGGCGAAAATAAGTCAAAAAACATAATACTGTCGGCGATATGGTTTCGGCGAAAATCTGAGGAAGGTTCTGATGCATGTAAATTTCAAAATTGATTCCAGATTGCGACAGCAGTGCAGCAAATTGTATAATATTGTGGGTGGGGTTCTAAGCTTGGCCCCTTGCTATGTCCGAAAAAAGCAGGTACGTGCAGTTGATCAGACTGCATATCCTCTCCAAACATCAGTAGCTTCGTTGGCCACGGACTGATGAATGGAGCCGTGGCCCCCTGCAAATTAGTGAAAACCAATCAGAAGTTTTACATCTGTTCAGATGGTACACACACACACATACACACACACACACACACGCTGCTGCAGATTACCGTGCATCTCGAAGGATTTGGAAGAGGATTTTCCGATTGAAACCGATATTTGAAGTTTCCGCGTTGGTATTTATATAGCACATGTACTGTAGAAATGACACCATTTCGAACCCTCACATCATGCTTGGGAGTTCTAACATGTTACAACTACCCCAACAATGGTTCATCCCCACTCTTCCGAACTAGAATCCACTCAGATTACCATTATATATAATTTACCGTTTTAAAGCTATTTTTATTGGTTAAGTCCCATTGGAATTCGCATCGCGGGGATTTTGTGTCAGGTCCCTGAGAGCAGAGAAGAGGTGCGCTTCCAAACCATCAGCTTTGGCATCGAGCCTCCCCTCAAGGTGGGGCTCAGATACCACTCACAAGGCTCGAGAGTAAGCCCAAGATCCAGGTGGCAACTGGCTGGAACTGCTAGAACGTATGATCATGTCATATCCGCAGGTGGGATAGGCACGAGTCGTCACGAGTCACTAGGTGGGTTTGTCTACCCCAAAAAACCATGTGCCTCCCAGATTTTTCCCTCCGGTCCAAGCTCGGCTCAGGTGGGCCCAGGACTTTCCGCGCAGGCCGAATTGGAAGACGTCCTGACACCGGAGGCTGGGGGAGAAGGGAGCATCCAGTAGGGATTACAGCACTGTTTTCCAATGCCTGTTTGGGGGTTGGTTACTTCTTTGTACCTCCAAAAACATCAAAAACACTGCAACATTTAGAGTTTTTACGTGCAAAGGCTTATAGACCAGAGCAGTTGGGTGTTTATCTGCCACAAAGGCGGGGCATACAGCATACAGTAGAACCTTTGGTCTGAAGGTCATGGGAGAGGGAGAGAGAGGGAGCATGCAATGCAATGATGGGAACAGACTGCGTTCTTCTTAAGATCAAAGAGATAGTGATATCGTGGTCTAACCTTCCCAATTTGAGCGTGTCCTTTTTTGGGACACAGATGACACAGTATTATTTTTGCTTGCTCCAGTCATACAGTCTTACCTACATTTCCACAGGCTGAGGACCCACTTTCACAGATTATCTACAATATAGAGGTCTAGGATAATTGTTTTGCTCAGCGGTGATTGTGGTCAAAAGGCGCCAGTCACTATGATCTTTTTACGCTTAGTTCTGCCGATTGGCATAGGCTTTGCCTCCAATTTACTGCGTAAACCGTGCAGAATGGTTCGGAACTGGGTCAATGTTTCGCAGTAAAATGCAATTTTGCAAGAGGAACATAAGAAAAACTTGTTCTTTTTCTGACAAACATGGAGTGATATTCCAGACGTGTATTATTAATAATTAATATTCCAGAATATTCCCAATCTTCCAAAGTTGCGGACGTGGGGTAATCAATCAGGACGTGCAGCTGCCCTGCCAGCGAGAGCGTTGTGGAAAGCGCTTGAAGAACCTGGATTTTTTAGGGCTTGGGGCATGGCAGTGATTGGAAGATAGAGAAAAACATCAACCGGGAACGGGGATGGGTCAAAACACGTGCCAATGAAATGCGTTTTTAAAATTTTAGATGAGGCTCCAATGACCATTTTGAACAGAAGGGTGCACATGGACATTTATTGTACTTACCCGTATATATACACACATGTACACATATAAATATACATGTGTATGTATGTATATATATATATATAGACACACACACATATAAATATATATATAAATACACATGTATATATTTATATAGATAGATACATGCTAGCCCCCCGCCACAAAAACACCATGTGGCTATCTCAGCGAACTCAGCGGTTTGATCTCCCCAAACTGCGAAAACAAACTGGTGCTTGTTTTGAGGATCATCCCAAATTATGACTGGTCAACAAGGGCTATACTGTCCACTAAAAGTCGCGAACTTATTGCAACGGTTTCATACGGGAGAGATGAACCAGTTACAGTATGTTACACGGATGCTTCTCATGATTCTTTCTGGCAGTGGGGTTCAAATATGGTATGCCCCACTGATAAATGGGATCATCCAGGCCTGTTTCTGATGTCTCGCCTTTAGCCCTTGGCTAAGCTCTCGGAGATGGCGATAGAGAGAGAGAGAGAGAGAGTGAAACAAGATATTTATCAATACATATGTGTATATATATATATGTATATGTATATATATATATGTATATGTATATATGTATATATGTATATATGTATATATGTATATATATATATATGTATATATATATATATGTATATATATGTATATATATGTATATATATGTATATATATATGTATATATATATGTGTATATATATGTATATATATGTATATATGTATATATGTATATATATATATGTATGTATGTATATATGTATATATGTATATATGTATATATGTATATATGTATATATATATGTATATATGTATACATGTATATATGTATATATGTATATATGTATATATGTATATATCTATATATATACTGTATATATATATATATGCATTTATGCACAGATGTGTGTGTGTGATTCATCTAGATTTCTCAGCCTTGATTCATGATTTTTTTCCCAGGGGTTTTAAATCACCCCAAGATCTCCAAGAGACGAGGGACTTGAGGGACGCTAAGGCGCATCCTCTTCATGTTTCTGTCCCCTCCGGTGGCTGCCACACTGCTGGGTATCCTGGTGGCTTTCATTCGGCTGCTGCAGAACCAGTTCGTGAATCTCAACGTGCCTTGGCGGACGCGGTGGACTGCGTGCCTCGCCTTCGGTGGGGGATGGAATAACTTGGAAAGTTGCAAAAAGATTCCAAGATCCGTTTTTTTCTCAATGTCTCTTTTGGGAGGGGTAGTGAAATTTAGGAATATACGAAGAACAGACCTGAGATCCGTGCTTAAAAAAAAAGTCATAGGTCACTTGGTAGTATCCAAGTGGGATGTTCTGTAACATGATGAGTCTAGATATTTTTGATGGTGGGCTCAGTGGGTTGACGTTTTCTTTGGACTTGTGAATGGAGAAATGATGAGAAACAGAATGTGAAAGTGAGATTACATATATATATATATATATGTATAACTTTAGCTGGTTGGTGGCTTGATATATATACATATATATATACATACACATTTATATTACATACTACTGTACCTGCAATGATTGATGCAGATGACTCATGCCCCCCTGTTGAAATGGAAAGTATATACCCTCTGGTACTTGTAATCAAACATGGCAGTGGAAGATCCTCCACTTAGTTCAGGGATTTTCCAGCCAGCTTTGATGACACTGGAGGTTATATAAACCGATAGCTGCCAAGATTATATTGTTGGTTGTACAGTTATACGTATATGAGGTGTATATTCCATTGTATATACACACGCGCATGCACACACACAGTCACAATACTGTATATATATACACATAACATATAATATGTTATATATATCATTGCAGTAGGAGAAGGGGTTCAGAGAAACCACGCAAGCCTCTAAGCCTCTAAGCGCCTAAGCCTCTAAACGCAAAGAGACTGGGCAAAAGCGCATAAGCCTCTAAGCGCCTAAGCCTCTAAGCGCAGAGAGACTGGGCAAAAGCGCATAAGCCTCTAAACCTCTAAGCGCCTAAGCCTCTAAGCGAAAGAGACTGGGCAAAAGCGCATAAGCCTCTAAGCCTCTAAGCGCCTAAGCCTCTAAGCGCAAAGAGACTGGGCAAGAGCGCATAAGCCTCTAAGCCTCTAAGCGCCTAAGCCTCTAAGCGCAGAGAGACTGGGCAAAAGCGCATAAGCCTCTAAGCCTCTAAGCGCCTAAGCCTCTAAGCGAAAGAGACTGGGCAAAAGCGCATAAGCCTCTAAGCCTCTAAGCGCCTAAGCCTCTAAGCGCAAAGAGACTGGGCAAGAGCGCACAAGCCTCTAAGCCTCTAAGCGCCTAAGCCTCTAAGCGCAGAGAGACTGGGCAAAAGCGCATAAGCCTCTAAGCCTCTAAGCGCCTAAGCCTCTAAGCGAAAGAGACTGGGCAAAAACGCATAAGCCTCTAAGCCTCTAAGCGCCTAAGCCTCTAAACGCAAAGAGACTGGGCAAAAGCGCATAAGCCTCTAAGCCTCTAAGCGCCTAAGCCTCTAAGCGCAGAGAGACTGGGCAAAAGCGCACAAGCCTCTAAGCCTCTAAGCGCCTAAGCCTCTAAGCGCAGAGAGACTGGGCAAAAGCGCATAAGCCTCTAAGCCTCTAAGCGCCTAAGCCTCTAAGCGACAGAGACTGGGCAAAAGCGCATAAGCCTCTAAGCCTCTAAGCGCCTAAGCCTCTAAGCGCCTAAGCGTCTAAGCGCCTAAGCGCCTAAGACCAGCGCATAAGCGCCTAAGCGCCTAAGCGCCTAAGACCAGCGCATAAGCGCCTAAGCGGCTAAGCGCCTAAGCGCCTAAGACCAGCGCATAAGCGCCTAAGCGGCTAAGCGCCTAAGCGCCTAAGACCAGCGCATAAGCGCCTAAGCGCCTAAGCGCCTAAGCGCCTAAGCGCCTAAGACCAGCGTATAAGCCGCATAAGCGCCTAAGCGCTCAGCGCCCCAGACCAGTCCATAAGCGCATAAGCGCCTACGCGCCTAAGACCAAACCAGGGCTTGAACGAAAGAGATGCCTGAAACGAAAGAAGAGCATACAGAAACGAAAGAAGGACTTCGAACGAAAGCCAGCAGGAGTCCAACGAAAGAGAGAAGATTTCAAACGAATAAGAGGAGTCGAACGAACAAGAGAGGACTTGAACGAAAGAGAGGCTTGAAACGACAAAAGCGCAGAGAGAAACGAAAGAAGGACTTCAAACGAAAGCCAGCAGGAGTCCAACGAAAGAGAGCGGTTGCAAACGAATGAGAGGAGTCGAACGAACAAGACAGGACTTGAACGAAAGAGAGGTCTCAAACGAAAAAAGAGCAGCGAGAACCGAAAGAAGACTTCGAACGAAAGTCAGCCGGAGTCCAACGACAGGGAGAGGTTTCGAACGAAGGAGAGGTTTCGAACGAATGAGAGGAGCCGAACGAACAAGACAGGACTTGAACGCAAGAGAGCTCTCAAACGAAAAAAGAGTAGAGAGAAACGAAAGAAGACTTCGAACGAAAGCCACTTGAACGAAAGAGACGTCTCAAACGAAAAGAAAGCAAAGAGAAACGAAAGAAGACTTCGAACGAAAGTCAGCAGGAGTCCAACGAGAGAGAGAGGATTTAAAACGGATGAGAGGAGTCGAACGAACAAGGCAGGACTGGAACGAAAGAGAGGCCTGAAAAGAAAAAAAATAGAGCATAGAGAAACGAAAGAAAGACTTCCAGCGAAAGTCAGCAGGAGTCCAACGAAAGAGAGAGGATTTCAAACGAATGAGAGGAGTCGAACGAACAAGGCAGGACTTGAACGAAAGAGAGGTCTCAAATGAAAAAAGAGCAGAGAGAAACGAAAGAATTACTTCGAACGAAAGTCAGCAGGAGTCCAACGAAAGAGAGAGGTTGCAAACGAATGTGAGGAGTCGAACGAAACAAGACAGGGCTTGAACAAAGAGAGAGAGAGAGGATTTCAAACGAATGAGAGGATTCGAACGAACAAGAAAGGACTGGAACGAAAGAGAGGCCTGAAAAGAACAAAAAGAGCATAGAGAAACGAAAGAAAGACTTCCAACGAAAGTCAGCAGGAGTCCCACGAAACAGAGAGGCTTTCAAACGAATGAGAGAAGTCGAACGAACAAGATAGGACTTGAACGAAAGAGAGGCCTGAAACGAAAAAAGAGCAGAGAGAAACGAAAGAAGGACTTCGAACGAAAGGCAGCAGGAGTCCAACGAAAGAGAGAAGATTTCAAACAAATGAGAGGAGTCGAACGAACAAGATAGGACTTGAACGAAAGAGAGGCCTGAAACGACAAAAGGGCAGAGAGAAACGAAAGAAGGACTTCAAACGAAAGCCAGCAGGAGTCCAACGAAAGAGAGCGGTTGCAAACGAATGAGAGGAGTCGAACGAACAAGACAGGACCTGAACGAAAGAGAGGTCTCAAACGAAAAAAGAGCAGCGAGAACCGAAAGAAGACTTCGAACGAAAGTCAGCCGGAGTCCAACGACAGGGAGAGGTTTCGAACGAATGAGAGGAGCCGAACGAACAAGACAGGACTTGAACGCAAGAGAGCTCTCAAACGAAAAAAGAGTAGAGAGAAACGAAAGAAGACTTCGAACAAAAGCCACTTGAACGAAAGAGACGTCTCAAACGAAAAGAAAGCAAAAAAGAAACGAAAGAAGACTTCGAACGAAAGTCAGCAGGAGTCCAACGAGAGAGAGAGGATTTCAAACGAATGAGAGGAGTCGAACGAACAAGGCAGGACTTGAACGAAGGAGAGGTCTCAAACGAAAAACGAGCAGAGAGAAACGAAAGAATTACTTCGAACGAAAGGCAGCAGGAGTCCAACGAAAGGGAGAGGTGGCAAACGAATGAGAGGAGTCGAACGAACAAGACAGGACTGGAACGAAAGAGAGGCCTGAAAAGAAAAAAAAAGAGCAGAGAGAAACGAAAGAAAGACTTCCAACGAAAGTCAGCAGGAGTCCAACGAAAGAGAGAGGATTTCAAACGAATGAGAGGAGTCGAACGAACAAGGCAGGACTTGAACGAAAGAGAGGTCTCAAACGAAAAAAGAGCAGAGAGAAACGAAAGAATTACTTCGAACGAAAGTCAGCAGGAGTCCAACGAAAGAGAGAGGTTGCAAACGAATGTGAGGAGTCGAACGAAACAAGACAGGGCTTGAACGAAAGAGAGAGAAAGAGGATTTCAAACGAATGAGAGGAGTCGAACGAACAAGATAGGACTTGAACGAAAGAGAGGCCTGAAACGAAAAAAGAGCAGAGAGAAACGAAAGAAGGACTTCGAACGAAAGGCAGCAGGAGTCCAACGAAAGAGAGAAGATTTCAAACAAATGAGAGGAGTCGAACGAACAAGATAGGACTTGAACGAAAGAGAGGCCTGAAACGACAAAAGGGCAGAGAGAAACGAAAGAAGGACTTCAAACGAAAGCCAGCAGGAGTCCAACGAAAGAGAGCGGTTGCAAACGAATGAGAGGAGTCGAACGAACAAGACAGGACTTGAACGAAAGAGAGGTCTCAAACGAAAAAAGAGCAGAGAGAACCGAAAGAAGACTTCGAACGAAAGTCAACCGGAGTCCAACGAAAGGGAGAGGTTTCGAACGAATGAGAGGAGCCGAACGAACAAGACAGGACTTGAACGAAAGATAGCTCCAAACGAAAACAGAGCAGAGAGAAACGAAAGAAGACTTCGAACGAAAGCCACTTGAACGAAAGAGACGTCTCAACTCAAACGAAAAGAAAGCAAAGAGAAACGAAAGAAGACTTCGAACGAAAGTCAGCAGGAGTCCAACGAGAGGAGGAGTCGAACGAACAAGACAGGACTGGAACGAAAGAGAGGCCTGAAAAGAACAAAAAGAGCATAGAGAAACGAAAGAAAGACTTCCAACGAGAGTCCAACGAAAGAGAGAGGATTTCAAACGAATGAGAGGAGTCGAACGAACAAGGCAGGACTTGAACGAAAGAGAGGTCTCCTCAAACGAAAGAAGAGCATAGAGAAGCGAAAGAAGGACTTCCAACGAAAGTCAGCAGGAGTCCAACGAAAGTTAGGGAGAGGTTGCAAACGAATGAGAGGAGCCGAAAGAACAAGACAGGACTTGAAGGAAAGAGAGGCCTGAAACGAAAAAAAAAGCAGAGAGAAACCATTGC